ATGGCTCGGCGCGCGGCGGTGCCGCCGCAGCCGACACGTCTGCCGACGGCGTACGCGCCACCTATGCCCTGTTTGCCAAGTGAGGCGGTGTGCCCTGCTGCCCGCTGCGCCCGCTGCGCCAGCCTGCCGCCTGCCCAGCGCTCGGCTGCCCCGCTGGGCGTGTGGCCGGTGCCTTGTTGGGGCGTCCAGGGCTGCGCGGGCTGCCGCTCTGCCGCTTGGGCGCCAACAGGGCGGGCATCCCTCGCCACCACTCACTGCCACACCCACGCGCTCCTCCCGCACCTACCCAGCCACCCACACGCACGCACGCTCTCACACACTCGTGCATCCCTGCCCCGCCCTCTGGTTGGTGCAGGGCCAAGCCTGAGCTCAACCCGTCCATCGCCCCGAAGCTTTTTGAATACCTGGGAGAGACGGCGGGGTGACAGGTGGCGGGGTGAGGTGGCGACGCTGCCACCTGGGCCGGCAGCGGCGGCGGCTGGGCTGGTGCCGCTGCCGGAGGCTGGGACGGGCGACGGCGGCACCAGCCTGTGGTTGGCTGCGGCGCAGCGCGGCTGGGTGGGGAGGCGTGGAGCCACCGGATGGCAGGGCCTGCCCTGCCTGCCTGTTCCGCCCCGCGAGGCAGCCGGTCGCCAACCGCCAGCGGCATCGCTCCCAACCTAGCCTGTTTGTGTACTGTTTACTCGACTGCTTCCCACTCCATCGCTCTGCTCTGCACGTCTCTGGGGTTTCTGCTTGTGAAATTTGGCCCTGGTGGTACGCGACGTGGGCGCTATGGGCGCGCCTGGGCGGCGGAGGGCCCTGCCGCCCGGCATCTCAACTTAAGCCATCCGGTTCGCTCCCCCGCTGCTTGATTAGGGCTGCAGCTATGCAGCACGGCGCCGCCGACAGTGCGGCCGCCGGCAGTGCGGCCGCTGTCGGCAGGCTGTGGCAGCCCTCGCCACGGCAACGAAGCGAGCACATCAGCCTGCTGCTGCAATTCAGCTCCAGCATCCTGGAGCACAGGTTTCAAGCCTGGCGGGATCGGCGCAGCGCCACCAGCGGGGTGACAGCCTTGTATTTCCTCACCAGTTCCTCTACGCTGCTCCTGAACCTGGCCTGGGTCGCCCAGCTGCAGGCAGTGGCCGCCTGGGTGAGTCCGGTATTTTCCCGGTATTCCACCTGTGTTGGCCCAGCCTGGGAGCCTCGGCTATCTACGGGAGAGGACCTATGCGGCAGTATTTGCGCCTGAGATGGCGCCTTGGCCTCAGCAGCGAGGACAGCACCGACGCCGCCGACGCCCCACCCGCCGCTCCTTGAGCACCACCCTCCACCTCGCCCTGCAGGCCCCCGCCCTCCTCCCTGGCCTACTCCCGCTGCTGGCGCTGCTGCTGGGGTGGGGCCCCGCGCGCCGTCGCTGCCACAGCCTCCTGCGGCGGGCATGGGGCGGGCTGGCGCCTGGATCCGGCGCTCGGCCGTCGCGGGCGCGCCACCTGCTGCCCTGCGCGCAGATGGCCGTTTGGGCTGCAGCCTGGTCGCTGGTGCAGCTCACAGGCTGGATGTCGGCCGGGCCCGCCTGCGGCATCGGCACCGCTCGCCAGATGTGGCTGCCGCTGCTGCGCACGCAGCCCCTCAACCTCAACTTCTTCTCTACATCCCTGCATGCCTGGGTGCGTGGCCAGCACGCACACCCCCTCGCACCCTTGCCTCGCCTGAAGCCGCTGTGTGTGCCGCGGAATGCGTGTGACGGCTGCTCCGGCGCAGGCCGGCGACAGCTGGCATCCCGCCGCCGCCCTTTCTCTACGCGCCGCCTGTGCTTGCCTGTGCTTGCCTGTGCTTGCAGGTCGTCTTGCTGGCCGTCTACCCACTGGTTACGAGGATGCCGCTGCCCGCGGCGGCGGCAGGCCAGCTGGTGGCCGCACTGGCGGGCGTGGCCTCGGCCCGCCGCGGCTGCGCGCACAGCCTGGCCGGCTGCCCGGCCGCGGCAGGCTGGTACGCGCAGTCTGCAGCCGCGCTGGATGGCTGGGCCGCGGCAGCCCTGCCCCTGGGCTCCTCGCCGCTCCCGCTGAGTGGCTGGTCCCACTGCCCGGCGGCCGCCTGCTGGGCGGTCACGCTGTTTATCCATCTCTTTGCGTGCGGCGTGCTGTCGCTGGGGAGGAGCTACGCGTGTGAGCGGCAGCGCAGGGAGGCGTTTGCGGCGGCGCACGGCGCGGGCGAGGCGGCGCTGGAGCTGCGGTGGCGGCGGGTGCCCGCCTGGCGCGCCGCGCTGCAGCAGGCGCTCGCCGGCTGCGTCCTGTGGCAGGTGCTGGCCGCGGTGTCGTGGCCCCTCAACAATAGAATGACAGGCCACTGAGAGACGGCCTTGCAGTTTTCCCTACTAGTTTACTGCATACTAGATCAACACATCTAGTGTATCAGTGCGCAACAGTTTTCCACGTGAAATTCTTTCAAGAGGTTTCTGAATTAATGTTGATCGAATAAGGTGACAACTTTTCGGCCCCGCTGCCATTTCAATGTCAAATTGAGTGAGGTACCTCTCTTGCCAAATAAGTGCATCACTTCGCACAGCCCCGCTGCAACAGCACGCCGCCAGGCCTACAGGAGCAGGCGCACCAGCAGCAGGGCCAGAAACAGGGCGAGCAGCGCGGCGCACAGCCGCTGCAGGCGCGGCCCAGCCAAGGCGCCCCGGGCGGCGCCACGCGCGCCGGGCCACTCCTGCACTTCCAAGCTCTCCACATCTCGCTTCATGCACTGCATGTGGCCATGTGCCGCGCCAAACACCAACCAAATCAAGGAACAGGGCAGGCGCCACCAGCAGAGCACTTCGTGATGGCTGCCACGCTGGTGAAAAGCCGCAGCAGGGGGCAGCAGGCTGGCCAGCGCAGGCTGGCGGCGCACCTCTGTGCGGCGTGCCGCCTGCGAGGAGAGCAGCGCGGCCTGCTGCCTGTCCGACAGCAGCGGCCCCTGATCTCCCTCCTCCGCCTTGCCCTTGGCCACTTCTAATGACAGCGCAGCACTCAGCTCCTCGTCTGCAGGCAGGCAACCCAGGCAAAGCAGGCTAAGCGTGACAGGAGGGTCCCAGCGTGGCGCCGTCACCCCACCACTGGTTGACGTGTGTGGCAGGCACCCGGGCGTGCGCTGCGCAGCCAGTCCAGTGCGCCCGCTGGCAGGCGCCAGGCCAGCGAAGCGACAGACCCGCCTGCAGCGCCCTCACCTTGCTCCGAGGCGGGTGGCTGGGCAGGTGTCGCAGAGCCTGCCGCGGCCGCAGCCGTCAGCAGCAAGCGCTGCAGCGACGGCATGCCGTGCCGCTGCGCAAAGCCAGCAGCCGCGCAGGCGGCGGCCGCCACGACGGCGGGCGGCAGCGGCGGCGCTGCGGGCTCGTCGGCCCCCTGCTCCCTCCCTTCCTCCAGCAGAGCAGCGGCCAGGCCAACGTCACGCAGCAGATTGTCCAGAGCCTGCGCGCCTGCAGGGGCAACAGTGAGAAGGGGCAGGCCGGAGCAGAGAGATAGGCCGGTGTTAGGGGGCAGGCAGGCATCCGGAGCGAGGGCAGGCAGGCACAGCGGCACAGCGGCAGCCGGCGGTACCAGGGGCAGGCGGTACCTCACCCGGCCCGCCGCTGCACTGCACCAGCCGCTGCACCTCCGCCGCCGCCGCCGCATCCTGCAGCACCAGCAGCGGCGCCGGGCTGCTGAGCAGCACGCCGCCGTCGCCGCCGGCGGCTGCGGCGGCTGCGCCGGCCAGCGGCAGCTGCACCTCCAGCTCGCAGCTGCCGGGGCACAGCCCCACAGGCCGCACCCACTGCTGCCATGGACGGCTGGCAGGCTGGATGGCTGGCGGCACGGCTGCTGCCTCCTGGGGTGCCGCCAAGGCCGCCGCAGGGAGCTCTTCCTCGCCGTTGCTGTCGCTGCTGCTGCCGCTGCCGCTGCCGCTGCTGCCGGCTGCCAGCGCTGCTGCCCGCGCAGCTGCCAGCCCCGCGGCGGCGGCCGCCTCGCTCTCGCCCCACGCCTCCACGGGCAGGTGCCGGCCCGCCTGGCGGCACAGCGCTACCGGCGGGCCGGCTGCGCGGGTGCCGCCGAGCAGCTGCAGCCGTACCAGCGGCCAGGGCAAGCCGGCTGCAGGCGCCGCAATGCACGCCGGCTGCACCTGCAGACGAGGCTCGGCCAGGGAGCCGGGCGCGGCAGCGGCGGCTGCGCCGCCGCCGGCCGCAGCCCAGGCCACCTGCCCCTGCCACTGCAGCAGCACACGGCTGGCTGCCGGCGGGGCACGCAGGGCTTGCAGCAGCTGCACGGCGGGGGTGCTGGCGAGTGCCGCTTCCGCGCCGCGCAGGCGGAGGTCAAGGGTCAGGTGGGTACAGCCGGGCCTGCGGCAGGCAAGCCAAACACGAGAGGTGAGCTGGCGGGGTCGAAGGAGCGGCGCCGCCAGGCCCAGTGGAGGCTCCGCAGGACGATCGAGCCCCGCAGCGGGGCGGGAATGCCGACATTCCGGAAGCGGCGGGATGAGGGGGTGGGGGAGGGGGCGCGGCGCCAGCTGCTCGCCTGACCGCCGCCTCCACCAGTTCTGGGAAGATCGCCAGCGAGGCGAGCAGCTCCCGCAGGATGTCTGGGGCCAGCATGTCCGGAGTGCAGCCAAAGATCTTGAGGGAGAGGCGGTACAGCTGGGCCGGCGACACGTACCGCTCCGGGGCGGGCTCCGGGGCCGCGCCCGGCGCCGCCGAGGGGCCCGCGGCCGTGCCGCCGCCTGGCCCGGCAGCCGCTGCCGCCTGCGGTGCTGTGAGCAGGACATCTGCCGCCTGTGGCACTGCGAGCACAGCATCCCCCGCCTGGACCACAGGTGGGGAGCAGGCAGGCAGGCGGGCGGGCTCGACTTAGGCAGCAGGCAAGGTTGCAGAGCCTGCGCTGGAGTGGATCCGCCTTTGCCTTTGGAGTGCCTCATGCGCCGCAAGCAACAGGCACACACACAGCGCACTGCATGGGCCCAGCTGACCCACAGGCAGCAGCAGGGGCGCGGCGGGAGCCTACCCACCCTCTCGCGCCCCGCCTCGCCGCTTGCGCTGCCAGGGGTGCTCCCAGCGGGCAGGGCCGCCTCGCCGGGCGCGGCCCCGGCGGCTGCGGCGGCTGCGGAGGGTGGCATGGAGGCTGCGGCCTCTCCCTCCCTGTGGCCTGACAGAGACGGGTCTGGCAGGGGCGCCTGCTGCACCTGCTGCACCTGCTGCACCTGATGCACCTGGCTGGGCTGCGGAGGGAGCGGCGGCGGCGAGGCCGAGCCGCTCGCGGGCTGCTGCTGCTGCTGCCGGGCGCTGCCGTCGTTGCTGCTGAACAGGGACGCGGAGGGGGTGCTGGTGCCGCCGCCGCTGCCGCCGCTGCTGCCGGTGCCGCCGCCGCTGCCAGCGCCGCCGCCGGTAGGCTGCAAGGGAGGGACGGGATGGCGCCCTGCCTCGACCTTGGCTTTCCTCAGGCGCTGGCGCAGTGAGTGGCGCTCCAGGGCTGCCCGGCACGACTTGCGCTCGCCTTCAAAGTCGGGCAGCGGCTGGAAGTGGCCGCACTGCGGGCAGGGCGAGGGAGAGAGGTGAGGGAGAGAGGCGCGGCTCAGCGGCGAGGTGAGGGAGAGAGGCCTGCTCAGCGGCGGGAGGCGGGGACGGCAGGCAGCATGGCGGCACCGCACAAGACGTGCGACAGACGCGGCGACCTACCTTTTGGCAGAAGCGGGCCCGGCTGCCCTCGAGGACGATGGAGCCGATGTGCAGATGGATGGGGCAGATCTTGTACTTCTGAAGAAACAGGGTGGAGGCGGGGCGAGGCCTCGGCAGGTCCCGCAGCGGCGGCAGCGCCCGTCGGCACCTCACGTGCAGGTCGGATCGGCTTCGCCGTAGGCGCACCTTGTGGTATGGAGACTCCAGCGGCTCTGGGCAGCCCTGTACCTGGCAGACTTGCTGTCCGGCGAACCTCCTGCGCCGGCGCTTTCCGGGGGTCTCTCTCGCCTGGTCTGCACTCTCCCCTTGTGCTGCCGCCTGGCCCGCCGAGCCGCTCGGTCCGCGTTCCGAGCGCGGCGGGTTCCACGTTGCGTCCCCGCTGCGCCATTCCATGTTTGTTGTGTCGTTTGATGTGCAGCGTGAGCAATGCGATGCAGGCGGTGCGGTGCACGTCCTTAACTGTGGTACTGTACCGCAGGCGGCGGCCACAGCCGCCCGTGCTTGCACAGCTCAAGTCAATCAATGCTTGAATTGTTAGCGTGCTCGTGTGTTTTTGTCATCTTTCAACACACTATGGCCACTTGCCACCATCTGACCAGCACCCACGTGCCGCCACCGCAGGTGAGTCTTCTGTTCCATGTATGCACATCCCCCGCTGAGGCGGAGTCCTGGTACTAAAAGTGCACGGGACAGGCGTGGCAGGCACAGGCAGACATGCATCGGCCAGTACTGCTGATGGCTCCAAGCCATGCTCCGTTGTCGCCGCTGCCTGCCGCCACTGCCTCACAGGGGCAGTGCTCTGCCATGCCGCCGCGGCGGCCGCATCACTTCTTGCCCTTCTTCTTCTTGGCCTGCAGTCGCCACAGCGCAGCACAGCGCAGCGTGCCACGGAGCAACCTTGGTGAAGAGCCCTGCAGCGCTCCACGCCCGGCCAGGCCGCCCGGCCCTGCGGGCTGCTGCAGGCGGGCTCACAAGATCCTGCATTTCCTGCCACCAGCACCGTTGCACATGCCGCCGCCAGGACGGGGCAGGCAACTCGAGCGGTGCACCTTGGGCTTGGGGGCGGGCTCGGGCTCTGCCTCTTCCTCCTCCTCCTCCTCAACTGCCTCAGGCTCCAGCTCCGGCTCCTCCTCTGTAGAGGGCAGCAGTACAGTGCAGTACAGGGCACAGTGCAGTGCAGGGTCACAGCTCAGCTCAGAGCAGCACGGCACGCACAGCAGGGAGCAGCGCAGCTCGGCACGGCACAGCGTGGCAAGGCACCCGCTGCGCTCAGCCGGCGTGCGCTGCTCGGGGCCTGCTAGCAGCGCTGGCAGCCAGCTGGCAGCTGGCGGCTCGCCCAGGCGCCGTACTGAGGCACAAGGCTGCCCCAAAGCAGGCATGCCATGCCCACCACGTGGTTGTGCACTGCCCAACAGAGCGCCGAGCTGGCTGCTAACCGCCACAGCTGGGCACTCACCAGGCAGCTCCTCCTCCCCCTCCCCAGCCTCCTCCTCGGCCTCCTCCTCCTCTTCCTTCTTCTTCTTCTTCCCGCCAGCCGCCTTCTTCTTGCCAGCCGCGGCAGCCGCCTTCTTCTTCTTGGGCTGCAGCACGGCGCGGCGCGGCAGAGGCACGCGCAGCGCTCAAGCCGGCTGCCGCCGCAGGCGCCCGCCGGCTGCCACCCTCTGTCAGCGGCATGGAGGGGCCCCTCCTGGGCTGCCCCCTGGGGCTGCCAGCGGGTCCGACACACTTCAGGCGCCCAGGCTGCTGGCGGCAGCGGCTGGCACACACTGTGTGGCACCTTGGGAGCCTCCCCCTCCTCCTCCTCCTCCGCTTTCTTCTTCTTCTGGCGGGGCTGCTTCTCAGGCGGGTTGTCAAACGTGTTGTCCACGGCTTCCTGCAGGCGGGCGGGAAGGCGGGCGGGTGCACACCCACGCGGGCCGGGCAGCATGCCGCTGGGCGAGCACGCGGCCACAGAGGCGTGGCCCACCGGCCGGGCCAGGTGCAGGCGGGCCGCCTTTCAGGGCCTCTGCTGGTGCCCCCGGCAGCACGCAGGGTCTGCCTCCACCACGGCATGCCATCATGCCAGCATGGCATGTCATCACGCCAGCATGGCGCCAGCATGGCGTGATCCCCGGGCCCAGCTCCCACCAGGCCCACACCAACCTGGTCCGCCTCCTCCAGCTCGTCATAGCCCTGCACATACACATGAGGCAGGCTCCCAGGCATCCATGAGGGGAGAGAGAGCAGGAGGGAGCTGGCGGTTCGGTGGGCGGCGAGCGCTGGGCGTGAGGGTGGCCCCCGCCCGACGGAGCTGCCTGCATCGCACGTTCCTTTGCGGATATGCAGGCTGCAAACACAGACAGCAAAACAGCAGAGCCCACGCCTGCCCACATGGCAGCACACCTGCAGGTTGTCTGCGTTGCCGATGTTCTCCAGTTGCTTGGCCGTCACGCAGCCCCTGCAGGGCGAGGCATGGGAAGGGCAGGCAGCAGGCAAGGTGTACAGGAGTGCCGCGACCTTGGACACTGGTTGAGCAAGGCGGGCGGCGGCCGGGGGAGGCGGGCAGCAAGCAGCTGCAGGCGGCAGAATAACCAGCGGCTGGGAGCTTTGAGAGGGAGGCAAGCGGCGCGGCTGCAGCCAGTCTGCGGAGGAGGCTGCACCCTGGCGCGACCGGTGTGTGGTGTACTGCACTCGTAGTGCCACCAGTTGTGCCACCGGTAGCGCCTCCCCACCAGCACCCACCAGTGCTTCCATTTGATGGAGGTCCGGTCGCCCACCTCGTACTCGCTCCCCATCCGCAGCTCGCCCTGCAGGCAGCAGCAAAAGGAGGGTGAGAAAGAGGGGAAGGGAAGCCCCGCCGGTGCGGGTAAATGCTCGGACGCACGCACAAAGAGGGCTCAGTATGAGGGGGCACCAGCCAGGGAGCAGCGCCAGCCCTGTGGCTGCCCTGGGCCTGGCACCAGCGGGCAGCCTGGGCAACCTCGGCAGCTGCCCGCCAGGCAACCTCGGCAGTAGGCGGCGGCGGCAGCTCCCAGCGGGGCCCAACCCACACCTCGTCAATCGTCTCCTTGCAGCCCTGGCACTTGGCCCGCCCCGACTTGGCCTTCTCGATCTTGTAGGGCATCCTGCTGTGGCTGCTCTTGCTGGTGGGCCTGCACGAGGCGGGTGCAGGAGGGGCAGCTGTGTGAAGCAGCAGGAGCGCCGGGCGGCGGGCGCGGGAGCGGCGCCGGTGTCGGTCAACGCTGCAGGGTGTGTGACCGGCTGGCTGCGCAGGGCTGCTGGACGGGGCCTTCTGCGCTTCTGGGGAGCCCCAGCGCTGCGCGGCGCAGGTGCTGGGGCGCGGTCGCAGGCGCGAGGTGCGCCCTCGGCCAGCGGCTGCCCGCGGGCGGCGCAGGCGCCCGGCGCTCCAGGCGCTTCCCGCGAGGGCCTGCATCCCTCCCAACTCACTCTGCGGGTGCTGGGATCGCCCTTGGAGCTGGATTCTCGGCAGCAGCGGGCCTGCAACCAGAGGAGAGGCTTGGGAGTGTGCAACCGGGCTGAGGGTGCGAGGATGCGGACCTGGGGCCCTGGATGCCTCCTAGGCTGGTCGCTTGGGCTGCAGGTAGGGTGCGGCAGGCCCCAAGTGCAGCGTCAGAGCGGCGGCCCCCAAAGGCACCTGCTTCAGCACCTGCCTCACTGCAGAGGCTCTGAGAGAGATGGGGTGGCGTCTCGGCCACCAGCTGCTCAAGGCGGGCAAGGAATGGCGTCTGCAGCGCAGGCGCGCCCGTCCAAGGCATGCTTGCAGGCTGGAAAGGCGCGGCAGGCGGCGGGCGGCGCCCGCGCGGCAGCTGGGCAACATTCCACCGTGTGCTCGACTGCCTTCGCCAGCGGCTTGCTAGCACCACGTTACATTAGTGCCCCGGGACGGCTGGCCAATGTGGCTTGCTGGCCACTGGGGGCGGCACAAAAATTGCGGGCCCGCCCCTGGCCGCCGCATGGGCAGCAGGGGCGGCCCGGAGCGCACGGCGGCTCCGCTCAGGGTTGGTTGGAAAGGGAGGGAGAGAGGTCGCAAGGTGTCTGCTGCCGCGTTGCGTGTGTGTGGTGTGTCGTTGGATCGGAGCGGGGCGAGAGGGGAGCCACAGCGTGGCAAGTCACAGGTTCAGGGGTCGTGGCGGCGCGGCGGCGGCACCGGGAGGGAGGGGACAACAGGTGCCGGGCGCGGCGGCGGGCGCGCCAGGACGCGGCCCGCCGCTTGCTGCTGCCGCCGCCGCAGCAGCTCTGTCTGTTCGGCTCTTCTCTACTCCTTCTGGCGCTTAGACTGCAGGCAGCGCCGGGCAGCGGGGGTCGGGTTCTGGGGTGGCGCAGCGAGGCATGGCGCTGCCCCGGCCTGTCTGCTTCCGCAGCCTGGCTGCCGCTGACGCGCAGCTTGGCCGGACAACCGCCAGCCGCTCGCCTCTCCTGGGCCTCTCCCCACAGTACCGCCTGCCTCCCCACAGTACCGCCTGCCAGGGCATGCCTCCCAGCAACAATGACATGAACGAGAGAGGGAGGGGAGGAAGAAAGCGTGGCTCACCTCTGGCTCCTCCACATAGTCCTCATCATCCTCATCCTCAGGCTCGGGCTCCTCCTCCTCCTCCTCCTCCTCCTCCTCCTCCTCCTCCTCCTCCTCCTCCTCCTCCTCCTCCTCCTCCTCTCCCGCCTGCTCGGCCGCAGGCGCCGCCTCTGCCGCAGGCTCCTCCTCCGCAGGAGCCGCCTCTGCGTTGGCATTCAGGCAGAGCCAGCAGACAGGCTGGGGCGAGGGAGCTGGGGCAGGTAGCCAAGGCAAGAGCCCGGGCGCAGCTGCCGAGGCGTGGAAGCTACGGCAAGCTAGCGGCCCGCAGCGACGAGCATTTGTGCAGGCGCTCCAGCGCAGCCGGCCCTCGCCGCACCCTCTGCTGCCGCGCCGCCCTCCGCCTCCTCCTCTCCTTTCCCCTCGATGGAAGCCACCGTCTCCTCCTCCTCCTCAGACAGCTCCTCTGCACCAGGCAGAGCAGCAAGCAAGGTTGCATGGCAGCAGATGCAGAGCCAAAGCATGGCAGCAGCCTCTTCGCGGGACGTAGCTTCCATCCCACTTCACATCCTCCCCAGCCTGCCAGCCTGCCCACCCTCCGCTCCTTCCTACCAGGCAAGCGCCCTCCACCCTCCCAACCAAGCCACCCTGCCTTTCCACCCAGCCCCGGCCAACCCACCCGCAGCCTCCTCCTCCTCAGAGTCCTCCTCCTCCTCCTTCTTCTTCTTGCCGCTCTTGCGCGGCGCACGCGGGCGCTGCAGGTGGGCGGGGGGGCGGGGCCCGGGATGCCAGTGACATTTTCCGCCACACTGGCCTTCCATCCCTCCGCACACCAGCGCAGCGCAGCGCAGCACGGCGCAGCACGGCGCAGAACGGCGCAGCACGGCACGGCGCAGCGCAGCAAGCACAGCACGGCGCAGCACAGCACAGCCCAGCGCAGCACGGCTCCACATAGTGCATAGCTCGCAAGCAACACGCCATGGGCCCCTGCCACAGCCGTGCCAGCCGGCGGCGGTGCACCCCACCTTGGGCGCCCCCCCGCCGCTCTTCTTGCCCGCCTCCTTGTCGGCAAATGCCTTGCGCACCAGGTCCTGCTCACTCACACAGACGGGGGCAGGGCAGGGCAAGGCAGGGCTGAGGCGTGTGAGCGTTGCTGCTGGCCGTCCCACCCGCCACCTCGCTCGCGTGCCAGCCCAGCCGCACGCCAGCGTTCGCACAGAGTCCACCCTCTGCCGCCGCCGGCACGCACCTGGTGCTCCTGGCTCAGCTGGTCGAGGCCGTTGACCTTGTCCACGTCTCCGACGTTGGTGAGAACGCGGGAGCCCACGCACGTCCTGCGGCGCAGCCAGCCGCGCACGGCGCGAAGCGCTGGTCAGCCGTGGCGGCAGCGGGAGGCGCGCCGGAGGAGTGACGGAGCGCATGCCCAGGCGGTGAAATGCGGGGACGGTTTGTGGGCACGCCAGCCATCCAGCCAACCCCAGGCAGCGCGATGTGGGCAGCTGCGGTGCGGAGCCACCGCCCGCCCCGGCGGCCCGTGGGACAGGCCCAGCAGCCGGCGCTGGCAGGTGCCCCTGCGCTGCCATCGGCATGCTGTGCACCGCCCCCAGCACCACGAAATGGACGGCCAGAGGGGGTGTGGAATGAGCGAGCGGCGATGCGGCTCCCGCCAGCAATCACGCACCAGTGCCGCCACTTGGTGCTTTTCCGGCCAGACTCCGCCACCGTGGTCTCGATGCCCATGCGCAGCTCGCCCTGCAGCACACCCGCCACGATCACCTGCGTTGAACCCTGCAGATGGCGGCCCCCGCTATGCTGCTGACGCTGCCGACGCCGCAGATGGCGCGTGCACAGCACATCGGCGGCCGCAAACCACCCCGCCGCCGTCGCACCTCGCCAATGACCTGCTTGCAGGCCATGCACTTGGCCTTTGGCTTCGCCGTGATCTCAACGACGTAGCGCGTGCTCATCTTGGCTGCCACTGCGGAAGGATGCGAAAAAAGGGGCAGACAAGGGAGGGAGAGGGGATGAGGGCTCCCCTTTCCAGCCGCCCCGACCCCGCTGCCACCGTCATCCACCTGCGCTGCTGCCCGCCCCCAGCGTTGCCTGGATGTCAGGGAGCACACTTGCAAGGAGATTATGTAATTTTCCAGCTCTGTTGAACAGATAGAGGGCCACGCAGAGCTGACAAAGAAGAAGAAGTGCGCGGATGCGCCTCGGCCCGCTGGACCGCAGCGCGGGTGCGTTCCTCGCTCCGCATCTGCAGCACGCACAGTGGCAGCCTCCCTCTGGAGTCGCCATGCACTGCAGAACCGGGACGACGAAGATGCGGCCCGATTGTCAGGGCTGCACCCAGCAAGAGTTACAGGGGGTGGCATGGGCGGCAACATGACGTGGCATGCCGCTGTGGCAGAGGCGGGTGAGGCCAAAACAGACCAGCAGGTTGCTGGGGACGGAAAAACAGCAGCGGCGAGGGACAGCAGTGAGGAGAGCGAAGCGGATGGATAACAGAGAGCTGGTGTGGGGGGTGGGGAGTTGAGAATGGGCAGGGCTGGGGCCCTTGAAGGATGCACCACAACGGGCTCCAAGCAGCCACCTCCACCCTCACTTGTTCCACCTGCGCAGGGCGCCAAGAACAAGCAGCCCGTGGGCAGACAGGCAGCTAGGCACAACAGCACTGAGCAGCAGGAGGGGTAATAAACCTTGAGCAGCAGCCAGGCAGCGGCCTGCACCACTGCGCCGAACCAGATTGCAGGTGAGGTGCGCCCTGAGCAGGCAGGCAGGCAGCCAGCAGGGGGGGTCCCTCACCAGTACACAAGGATGAACAGCGTGCAGGCTGCCACCACCGCCGCCAGTATCAGATTGTCCTGTGGGCAGGCAGGCGGGCAGGCGGGCAGGTGTGCATCGGCAGCGCGTGCCCATGCCAGGCACACGCGGCCCTGCTGGCCTGCCCGCTCCCGCCGCATGCGGCTGCCCAAGCCGCAGCCGGCAAGCCCCGCCTGCCGGCACCAGCACCCCGTACGGTGCGCCCTCCTCAGCTGCGCATGCGGCCGTGCTACGCACGCTGTGGCCCCACTTTAATCGCACCATACCCAACCTGGCTGCTCCTCCCTTCGGGCGGGACAGCAAGGCGTAATGCTGCTGTGGCCCTCCTCACCCGGTTCTTGCGGCGACGGATGGCGTTCATCAGGGTGTTGACCACAGGGAACTTGTTCCCCAGGCTGCTCATCTTCCCAGAGATGCCCTCAAACATGCCGCGCTGCTGGCCCAGCCCGCTGCTCACAGCCTGCGCGGGCAACCGCGGCGCGGGCGCGGCGCGGGCGCGGGGTGGCGCGGGGTGTGCGGGAGCTTGCTGGCGCGGGCGGGCCCTCGCCCGGTGCATGCTGGCCCACGCTCGATGGCAGCGCACGCCGGGGCCGGGCAGGCAGGCACCCACGCCGACCCAGTCCCGAGTCAGTCGCGGCTCCGCCTCCCGCTCGCTGCCATGCCACCAGCAGCGGGAGCAGGGCAGGGCAGGGCAGGGAGAAGCAGCGCACCTGAGCGGTGCCCATCACTTCATCCAGCGCCGCGTTGGTGGAGGCCAGCATGCCGCGCTCCCGCAGCAGCAGCCCCGCGTTGCCCTGGCTCTGCAGCCCGGCGTGCTGGCTGGCGGCGGCGCCGCCCAGCAGGTCCAGCCGGTCGCGCGCCGCGCCCACCATGCTCTGCAGCCTTCGGAACTCCTGCAGAGTGCGGCGGGGAGCGGGGTGCGGCATGGGTGTGTGTGCCGCGGCAAGCTCGCGCTCCTCCGTGCCAGCCCTTCCTGACCACCCCTGCCCCGCATCGCACGCTGCTGCCATCCCTAACATCGCTGCCCCGCATCGCATGCTGCTGCCCTCCCCACGCCCCGTGCCTCCTCTCCCTGTGCCCCTGCCTGCTGGAAGTCGTGAAGGATGTCGCGGTGCCGCGCCAGCGTGTGGCTGCGCGAGTCGGCGCCGCCGCTGAGCGTGCTGCGCATACCGTCGTTGGCGTCGCTCAGCCGCGCCAGCAGCCGCTCTATCTCCCCGCACTTGGTCTGCAGCAGCTGCAGGCCGGCGCGGGCGGGCGGAGCGTGGCGATGAGCGGCGGGTGACCGCCGAGGAGCGGCGGGAAACATGGCAGTACCATGGAGGCGCGTGGGGGAAGGCACGCAAGGGCACACAAGTGGGGTGTCGGTATCGACGAGAGAGCGGCAGCGGCAGCGGCAGCAGCAGAGCAAGGAGCAGTTGCTGCTTCAGTGCTGCAGGGGCGGCGGCGTCAGCGGGGCGCCGTGCCTGGTCTGTGGCCATGCCGCTCTCGCCCTTGGAATAGCCGTACTCGTAGTTGGAGCACAGCTTGCCGTAGGCGGCTATCTTGATGTCCAGCTCGCTCTCCATCTTGCGCGCCTGGCGACACCGCGGGAACAGGAGGCGGCGGGTGTGGGGGGGACTGGCGATGGGCCCGGCGGCGGCCTGGTCCGGCCTTGTGGTCAAGCTATGTGCAGGCTGCCTGCTGGGTCTTCAGCTGCAGCCTGGCTCGTCATGCTGTTATGCAGGGCATGCAGGCTGCAGAGCAGGCCCACAGCAACAGCTTGCTGCGGGCAAGTCGCCGCTCCGCTCCCGCCCCGCAGGCAAATGGCCACACCTCACGCCGCAGGTCATCCCACGCCTTCTGCGACGACTCCGTGGTCAGCGGCATTTTCGTGGGTGTGTGCGGCCTGCAGCAGGACGCTCACCGCGCAGCCCGATCAGCCGGCCAGCGAGCAGGGCAGGGCGGAGGCTGTGACAGGGCTTGATCTTACGTCTGGTAAGCCAACGCAACGTGGCGTCCAACAGGGGGCTGAAAGGAGCTGTCGGGTAACAGGCTGGAGGCCATCTCGCCCTCACAGCATAGCGCTGCTTGGGGCTGCGCGGATGCTTGCGTGGGTGTGTGTGGGTCGAGTTCAAAGCACGCGCCGCAATGAGCGGGGGGTCATTGCTGTCTGCCAGCACAGCACGGCATGGCGCCGGGTGGCATCACACGGCAAATGGCTTCCCAACCGAGTGATCTGATCCCTCTGAGAGCCAGTTACAGTATGTTTGGACCATACCGCCAGGGCTAAATGCAAATCGGATGCCATATGTCCAAGTGTTGCATTGCCGGGGCGGCGCGACGGTGAGCAGACGGGTTACGAGCAAGAGCGTGTAGCAGGGAGAACAAGGGAGCGCAAGGAACACCGGGCAAGTAACAAGTACAGAAGAACAGAGGCTGGGGGGCTCGGTCTACTAGGCGTGGACGCGGCCGGCAGCTGCGGCCGAGGCCCAAGCGCCAATGTGGAGCAGCCATCCCGCCGCAGACGCCGCAGCTCACTTATTCCGCAGCTCGGCCAGCCGCTGCGAGAGGTCGTTCTCCGGCGCCGCCACCTTTTGCGCGGGCACCTGCGCCGCCGAGGCCTGCGGCAACTGAAAACCCGTCTCCAGCCCGTGCTCGTCCGCCACCTGCACGACACAGCCAGGCAGGGCACGCATGCTTGGTGGGCGGCACGTGGTGTTGAGCGTGAGAATGCAGGGGCCAAGCGCTATCATAAAGGCTGGGCAGCAGCTTGCAGGCGGCAGAAGGCAGCGGCGGCCAGATATACAAATCAGGCAGCGACAGGCGCAGGCAGCGCCAGCCGGCCTGCGGCTGCCCACCTGCTGCACGAGGGACGCCACATCGTCCTCCGGGGTGGAAAGCACCGCCTGGTTCTGCATTGCCTGCTCCACAAACTCCGACTGCACATCCAGGTTCTCAAACTGCTTCTCAAACTGCACCCGGGGAGGGAGGGGGGCGGCCGAAGCGGTGCGGCTAGGTCAGGGAGAGAGTGTGTGGGTGGGAGGGTGCGCATGTGTGAGGATGATGCGCAAGCTAGCGACCCTTTGGTGCTTGTGGTGAGCGTGCGCCAGCGCTCGCAATGCCATGAAGGAGAAGGCAAGCAGCAGGTGCTGCCCTGGCAACGCCCCGACCAGAGGAGGGGGAGGAGAGGCTCCCACATCGCACAGCCGCACAGCCGCCGCCCCGCGCATGCACTCGCACACACATCCCACACAACACCTGGTTCCACACACACTTGTCTCTCACACACACACACACACACACGCATACACACATCCCACACAACCTTGTCCCACACACACATGTCCCACGCATTCACGCACACGCACACACGCTTGCCCCGGGCAGCCCACCTGGTCCATCGTGTTGGCCACCTTCTCAAGGTTGTTCGACTTGAGGGCAGAGTCCAGGTTCTTGACGATGCCGGCTGCAGGGCAGCGCGGTGAGGAAAGGAAAGAAAGGAGGGGGTCCTCAAGGCGCCCCGGCAGCAGCACCGGCCAGCAGCAGGGCTGCAGAGAGGCGGCGCGGCAGCGGGTGGATGACGGCGGCGGGTGGCGAGCATGGGCCCCTCCTGCAGATGCGGCTGAGGCTCCAGGGCCAGAGGCTTCAAGGGTGCAGCCATCATCAGCCCTGTGCTGCGCAGCTGCCAGGGAAGGGAGCGAGCAGGCGCGGCCGGCTGCTCACCCATGCTCTTGTTGATGACCTGCAGGGGGGCAGTGTTGTTTCTTAGTTTGAATTACCATACACGATTCCTTGTTACAGCAGCAATCCAGTGCTCAACTCAAACAATCAGTACAGTCTCCTGGCGGCAGCACCCAGCCAGCAGCCCGGCCTAGCCCACACCCCAGGCAGCCAGGCACCCAGCCGCCGGCCCCTCCGCCCCAACAGCCCCCAGCCCTCAGCTGCCAGCCCAGCAGCCCCCGGCCCAGCACCCACCTGCATCTTGGCCTGCTGGTCGAGGCGGCTGACGACTGCGTCCAGGCGGGAGCCGAGGCGCAGGTAGTTGAGCGACTCGTTCTTCTTTCTAATTGCGTTCTGGGCGTAGATCTTGGCGCCGTCCATGTTGCCTGCGCCCGGGGTGCAGGGTGGAGGGAGGGTGGGGTGGGGGGGGGGGGCGGGGGGTGGGTGGGGCGGCGGGGCCGGCGGCTGGGTGGGCGG